TTCAAGATACTCGCAACAATGTGGAGGGCAGTCTCACAGCCTCGACCTACTGCATTCACGTCAGCTCCTCACAAGGCATTAACCATGAACATCATTCAGTTAGCTCAGTTAGCTCCTCTCAGGTTTCTGTCTCTTGATTTGATAAATTGGTGAAGCTGTTCTCGCATCCGTCACATCAGTCACCAGTCTGGCTCCTGCCCAGAGTAGAGCGTCAAGACGCCCAGTTGCACCGCTTGCACTGTGGCATCTCTTTGTGGAACATTCCAATGCAGCACGACAGCTAGCGCGAGCCTCAAAACAGCCAACAAAACAATCCAAAGAGGAAGCATTCTAGTGCATTCGAGTGTCACTGCTTTCCCTTGATGGACTTCAACCTTTGATTCGTGGAGTTTTCAAGGGAGTGGTGTTTAATCACTCGCGCTCATTGATGGTGTCTCAAACCAGGTTAGAGTTAGTTCCATATATACAATGTGTTGCGTGTTGCGTCTGCTCATGCGCGTGAGATCGGTAGATAAGATAAAGACAAAAAGACCTTGGCCTTGGCCACTACCGTAGCTGGTTTTCAGCATCAGAATGAAACGAATTCCTAGTTCTCGGTCCCCTGCCGAAACTGTGAGCCTGAAAAAAAGGCCCAGACAAACTGTAGAATCCGCGGCAAGGCTCCAGTCCGAACTCTTCCAATCCAAGGAGCCCAAGTGACCACTACTGGCTCTGGCAGCCAAACATTGAGGTGCTCGCAGCAGGTCGCCAGCAAATCCACAGTCTGAGCTGTCAAGTTCAAAAACACACACTTCTGATATTGATGAAATAAATCATCATTCGGCTACGGGTTAAAACTCAATGTACGAAATTGGACTCTACGGCTTTGACCCCGGCACATTTTGCAAATCAGCACCAACACTTTTCTGGTATGCCCTTCCCTCTTTTTTCACCTGCTTTCTTTCCTTATATTTTCCCCCATTTTCTCCCATATGTTTTTCCTCTAGTTTATTCTCTATGCATTGCTTCCCCGGTTTCTATCCTGAGATCTTCCCTCGTTTCTCCCCCATGTTCTTCCCTATTTTCTTCCCGATTTCTTCCTTTATGTTCTCTCCTATGTTGTTCCATGCCATATATGTTTCCTCTATTTTCTGTCCTTTTTCGTCCCTGTTTTCATCCTTATTTTTTTCCCTATGTGTTCCTTTGTTTTCCTTCCAAGTCCCCCAAAAAAATGGGAAAGAGATGGTTCTGTGCCAGTTTATGTTGTATGTTGCCTTATTTGTTTTTATGTTGGGGTTCAACATTTCTTCGTAGGTGTTGATGTTTTTTTGCTGTTGTGGTTTCTAGGTCATTTAGTAAAAAGTGTTCATAGGTTCCTTGATGTTACTATTGTTGGGGTTGTATTTTATTCCGATGGAAAATAAGGAAAGTTGTCATTGAAATATTCTATTGTTAATTGATGTCTTATTTGTTCCTTCTTCTTTTCTTCCGCTTGTTGTTGTTCTCTTTGTTGTTTAGTTTGTTTGAGGTTGTTGGGATTGTTGAGATTGTCTATGTGCCTTTTTGTTTTCTCGTTGTCTGTCTTGTTGTATTTCTTTATCATTACCTTACATATCGGACATTCTATCTAAATTGCTCTATATGCTTTTTTGTCTTCTTGGTGTGTTTCATACTGTTTTCTATCCCATTCTTTGTGTTTGTCTTTGTTATTGTGATAGTATTCGTGTCTCTTATCTATACATTCATTACACTGTCTTCTGTCATTGTCATAGTCGGTTAAGACCTTATCTTTTTTACATCTTGAACATTGTTTAGTTTCCATTTATGATACTGTATATAAGGGTGCTATGTCTTTAAGGGGTTTCTAGGTAAAAGGGGTTATATCTTTAAAATTGTGTTAGAGGGTGATTACTTCATAATATATTTTATTAAAATATTATAAACTAATCATTTTATGCTTTCCAGTTTCCTATTCCATCCCACCAGTGTTCAATCAACCGTGTTAATGATAATATAATCATGCTATCATATTTGTCATTATTTCCTTTGTTATAGTTGTAATTGATTATTTCATCCAAGAGGTTATGACATCTTATCATATCTTTCATTCCATCCTTTGAGTAAGGAAAACGACCACACTCTCTGATAATATGTTCCTCTAATATGTTTTCATACATCTTTTTCAAGGTTCTATAGTCATAACTACTAATAACAACAAACGAACTATTTGATTTCTTACTGATGTTGAACACAATTTGTGTAAATTCATCTAGGTTTGGAAATGGATTATTTTTAATAAAATCTAATGTCATTTCTTTTTCCTCTTGCATTTTTCTTTCTTAATATAATAAAAGGATATAAAACGTATGTTTTCTTTAAGTAATTGTGGGGTCTCTTTCAGTCTTCGGGCTTGGGTTTATGTTTAAGTTTCATTTTGCTCTCTTAAATATTCTTCACATTGTTCTTCACTCATTTTATCGTATTCTTCTCTCGCCCTTGAAATCCATTTCAAGGGTTGCCATTTTTGACCCTTGAAATCCATTTCAAGGGTTGCCATTTTTGACCCTTGAAATCCATTTCAAGGGTTTTTTAAAGACATATTTAGTATTCCAGAGGGTTTTTGGGCACCACCCTTGAAATCCATTTCAAGGGTTTTTTGCATACCCATTTTGAGGACATCATTGAACGATGCGAACATGCTAAGAACTACTTGTTGATGGTGATGATGAAAGCCTACAGGGATTTCTTGGGAGACACCACCAACGGCAAGTCCAAACACAAAAAGTTTGAGAAGCTGGTGAAGGCTCAAATGTTAGGTCACTCTCTTGATGACGTTGAGATGGAGGGCTGAAATCTTTGTATAGACTTGTTCTTTGGACCGTCGTTGTCAGACAGGACAACCGTTCATTAAAAACCGCATTGCATCGCGCGAGATTAATGTGAAAAAAAGTTGAAGGAAACTTGAGAAGATTAGCATGGTTGAAGTTGCAACGGATGACACGCACATGTCAAGAAATGTAGTTGGTAATGGATGACACGCACAAATCATGCCGAGGTTGGAATCTCTGAAAACTTTTACCGTTTCACCTTTTAGGTTCGGTTAGGGTTTTAGTTTCACCTTCGTTTCACCTACGTTTCACCTTCGTTTCACCTACGTTTCACCTACGTTTCACTCTAGTCTCACCCCTTTCGTTTCACTTCATTTGTTTCACTTGTAATTAGGTAGTTGTACGTAGTTGTAGGTGTATATAGTTGTATATAGATAGGAGTACGACGGGAACGGGACAACCGAAGAACCCGAAGAACAATAAATAATGCAGAGGGGGCGCAACAACCCCAAGGAAAAAAAATAGAGCGGAGGGGACGCAAGAACCCCAAGGGTGTTGTTTTGCTTCTTTTGGAAAAAGAGTTGAGCGATGAGGATGACTGATGATGGATGATGATGATGACGACGACGATGACGAGGACTGACGACGACAACATCAGGTGGCACGAGCCTTTCGTTTGGAGCTGGTGGAGAGGGATGGATGGGAAGGGGATAATATACTATTTTATATATGATATGATATAATATAATATGAAATATATATATATATATTGATATTGATATTTTTAGCGAACAACCCCAAAATCACTTAAAGAAATACCGCCTTATTGAAATGAAAAAATGACCTGCTATTTGTCAAAGGAAGTTTAGGGGGAGAAACTTCCGTGTTACGGACTTTTAGAATGTCAGGGAAAGAGTTAGTCAAAGAAAGAGTTAGCAAAGAAAGGGTTCGTCAGGGAAAGAGTTAGTCAAAGAAAGAGTTAGTGAGGGAAAGAGTTAGTCAAAGAAAGAGTTAGTCAAAGAAAAAGTTAGGCAAAGAAAGAGTTGGTGAGGGAAAGAGTTAGTCAAAGAAAGAGTTAGTCAAAGAAAGAGTTAGTCAAAGAAAGAGTTAGCAAAGAAAGAGTTCGTCAAAGAAAGAGTTAGTGAGGGAAAGAGTTAGTCAAAGAAAGAGTTAGTGAGGGAAAGAGTTAGTCAAAGAAAGAGTTAGTGAGGGAAAGAGTTAGTCAAAGAAAGAGTTAGTCAAAGGAAAGAGTTAGTCAAAGAAAGAGTTAGTGAGGGAAAGAGTTAGTCAAAGAAAGAGTTAGTCAAAGAAACAGTTAGTCAGGGAAAGAGTTAGTCAAAGAAAGAGTTAGTGAGGGAAGAGTTAGTCAAAGAAAGAGTTAGTGAGGGAAAGAGTCAGTCAAAGAAAGAGTTAGTGAGGGAAAGAGTTAGTCAAAGAAAGAGTTAGTCAGGATATATGAGGTAGTCAAAGAAAGAGTTAGCAAAGAAACAAGTTAGTCAAAGAAAGAGTTAGTCAAGATAAGGATTTAGTGAGGGAAAGAGTCGTCAAAGAAGAAGTTAGTCAAAGAAAAAGTTAGTCAAAGAAAATTAGTCAGAAGTTTAGGCAAAGAAAGAGTTGTTGAGGAAAATAATTAAGTCAAATAAGGTTAGTCAAGAAGAGTTCGTCAAAGAAACAGTTAGTCAGGGAAAGAGTTAGTCAAAGAAAGAGTTAGTCAGGGAAAATGTCAGGGAAAGAGTTAGTCAAAGAAAGAGTTAGCAAAGAAAGAGTTCGTCAGGGAAAGAGTTAGTCAAAGAAAGAGTTAGTGAGGGAAAGAGTTAGTCAAAGAAAGAGTTAGTGAGGGAAAGAGTTAGTCAAAGAAAGAGTTAGTGAGGAAAGAGTTCCCTCACTGTAAATGGGATTGCAAGTGGTGCTGGTGGAGGAAATGCGTTTTTGAGAGATAGCAGATGCACGAAACCCTATGTTTTTCCATACAAAGTCCGTCCCCGAACCTCGATGATCTACCTCTGCGGTGCGACGGTTGCGAGACGGTCTCGTGTGTGGTCGGATCATGGTCGGATCATTCTCGGATCATCTCGGATCGGTTCCGCATTGTAAATGGGGTTTCACCTGTGTTTCGTGCATGTGTGGTCGACAGAATTCCATTGTGATTTGCAACTGTAGGATCGTTCCCGCATTGTAAATGGGGTTGCAAGTGGTGCTGGTGGATGAGTTGCCGATGGAATTCCATTGTGATTTGCAACTCTAGGATCGTTCCCTCACTGTAAATGGGATTGCAAGTGGTGCTGGTGGAGGAGTTGCCGATGGAGTTTTGGAGGAAGTCTCGCACGAAATGCGTTTTTGAGAGATAGCAGATGCACGAAACCCTATGTTTTTCCATACAAAGTCCGTCCCCGAACCTCGATGATCTACCTCTGCGGTGCGACGGGTGCGAGACGGTCTCGTGTGTGGTCGGATCATGGTCGGATCATTCTCGGATCGGTTCCGCATTGTAAATGGGGTTTCACCTGTGTTTCGTCCATGTGGCGGTCGACAGAATTTCATTGTGATTTGCAACTGTAGGATCGTTCCCGCAATGTAAATGGGATTGCAAGTGGTGCTGGTGGATGAGTTGCCGATGGAATTCCATTGTGATTTGCAACTCTAGGATCGTTCCCTCACTGCAAATGGGATTGCAAGTGGTGCTGGTGGAGGAGTTGCCGATGGAGTTTTGGAGGAAGTCTCGCACGAAATGCGTTTTTGAGAGATAGGAGATGCACGAAACCCTATGTTTTTCCCATACAAAGTCCGTCCCCGAACCTCGATGATCTACCTCTGCTGTGCGACGGTTGCGAGACGGTCTCGTGTGTGGTCGGATCATGGTCGGATCGGTCTCGGATCATTCTCGGATGGGGTGTCACCTGTGTTTCGTGCATTTGTGGTCGACAGAATTCCATTGTGATTTGCAACTGTAGGATCG